CATTTCCTCCTCATAATGATTCCCTCATGCCAAGGTGTAGGTGAATAATAATCATTGATCTTTGGTCAGGTAAAATTGAAGCCCCTGCATTACAATCTATGGGCCAATCATTGATCTTTGGTTTAACTATTTGACGACTCAATCTATTTGTCATTGATCTTCTACCGACCAGGTTAACATTGAAAATTTATTAAGCTTTGGCCTAATTTATTGAAGATCCCACATCATAAATTTTTTGTCCAATGAAACTTCAAGTATCACTCTATTAGTTATCTTTTGACCAGACATGAGATCCTTCTTCTCTACATTGATCTTTCAAGAGAGTGATTTTTTGTGATTGCAAAATCGATATTTGGATAGTGATTCTTCAATCGCTCTAGAATGATTGTCATCGCAGTCATTAAGCGAATCTAAACTTAGAAATGCATTGATCCCTTTGGCCACTCATAGGAGAAAAATTGGATGTCAATGTCTTTCGCTTAACCATTAACAAGACAAATAAGAAAATTAAAAGAAAAGAAGAAAAATAAAATAATAATGAAAGTCTCATTACAAAACAACCTAGAATAATGCAAATCAATTATTGAAGAGACTTCAATCTTAGGTCTGGCTAAACTAAAGACTCCATGTTAATGATCTTTGGTCCTATATGAGATATATCCTCCCTCTATTAATCTTCGGTCAAAATACATGGAGCAAATTTTTTCTCCAAAAAATTAAGTCAAGTTGAAACTCGATGATACCATTCAAGCTATAATCAAAGGAAGTTTTGCAATCACTAAGTAACTTTAAGGGTTGTTAGATTTGAAATAAAAGGAGCGTAAAGTATTCCAAATGTATAAGTTTGGAGAATATTAGTGCTTGGTTTGAAGTAAATCAAATGCAATATAAAATTTTGGTGCATTTGAAATTCACCCTCTAGTTCATTTTTTGGTGCATTTGGAATTCCTCCGATCTGGGCAATTTTCAAATACACTGAAACTTCATTGCCAACCAGCCGCCCCCATCGTCGAGCACCACCACAGCCGACCTTTACAGCCTACTACCACCATCGACGCCACCACCACTGGCCGCCTTCAGCGAGCGTCGCAGCCCAGCGTCGCTTTTAGAGTTTAAAAATTATAAGTAATTATTTTTTATTATATATTTAAGAATTTTGAAAATTATTATGGTTATTTTTTATTTGAATATTTTATACAATTTTTTTCCAATAAATTATCATAGAATAATTATCCATCATGCATACATTGTAGGAACTAGAAAATACAAGATGTTTAGTCCCACATCACTTAGGAGCTTTATGTTTTGTTGTTTATATACATTTTCTTGTATGCATTGATTAAGAGCCCTCAAGGGGTGAAAGAATCATGTTGTTATGATAACTTTGTATTTAATAATGTATATAATATTAAAAAAAATTTGGAATTATATATCACATTTAAGTTAATTTAATATTTTAAAAATATTTTATTTTAAAGTAAATTAATTAAATATATTATAATTGAACCGGGCGGTTCTTAAGAACCCGACCGATTCACCGGTCGGCCGGTTCAATTGGCGGTTCAAATCGGTTTTCACCGGTTTGATGCTAGACCGGTTTCTTAAGAGGACCGAGCCAGCCTTAGGACCGGTTCACAGTTAAACCGATCGAACCGGCCAGTCCGGTCCGGTTTTCAAAGCCATGCTTTATACTGCATTCATTTTACTTCAAACCAAACAAAAAAAGTAATTCACCACATTTATTTTACACTTATCCAAACAACTCCAAAATATTTCAAATACATTATATTCATTTTCAGCCAGCCAAATAACCCCTTAATGTCAATGGCATGCATAAGCTGTCATTTCAATTATTAGAGATGAACTAAGATTTGTTGATAACTTTTGAGTCCCATCGTTGAGAATAAAATGAAGATGTTATGCCGACATGTATTTGAGCCACAAGATTAGATAGCAATAAAAATAATGATTTGAACATAGAATGCAACATCAAACTTGCATCTAAGTTAGAATCAAGAAATATAACACTTTAACTAATGTATCACACGTCACAAATATATTGAAGGTAACGAATGCTTGCATGTGTGTAGCAACTGGAGTGAAAAAGTAAAAAAATTCCCTTGATTATTCATATATAATCAATTTAATCCCAAAATACTATATCTCTCCAATTTAGTCTCTTGACAAAATAAACTTTATCCCAAATTATCCCATGGGGACTAAATTTTGATCAATTTTGTATAGTCTGAACTGAATTGGGTTTAAATTTTAAACCCAATTTAAACCCAATTTCCATCAAGTTTTACCTGAGGGCCAATTGTGATCAATTTTATATAGATGGGGGACTAAATTGGAGAAATGTGATGCTTTAGGAATAGTCAAAGGACTATTTTAAGCTTTTTTCAGCAATTGAATGTGTAGTATTGTGCTTAGCAACATGTCATCCAATGCTAAGAAAAGTCATTAGTTTAATAGCAAGAGAAATAAATTTATATAAGTCGCTATCATCATTCACGAAATCCTCTATGTACAACACATAAATAATAAAATTTTACAAAATTCTCACCTTTAAATTGACTTAAATGAACATTTCCTAAAATGCACAAGTGCATCATGCAATTGAACATGCTTTGAAAATGTGCCAATATGTCAGGGCATTTCTGTAAAAATCCACATGTTCATAAATATCACATTATAACTTTTAATCATGTTAATGCATAAATGCATATGCCAATTGTATCAAAAAATGTAAAACATATTAACACCCCTTGAATTTCAATTAAAATGCATGTAGTGTTGACCTGATCTTATGGATTCTCAATTTATCTACAAGTTTTAGTAAGTCAATACCACTTGGGTCATCTTGTCCAAATCACGAAATGATAAGACCTGTCCTTATAGGTCATTCTATGTTCAAAATAATAAGACAAATACATCGACCCACCTTAAACCTAAGGTTGCAAGTATCAGTTTATTAGGCTACTGTAACAAGCATAGTAAGTCAGAATGTTCCTATAATAATTTAGAATAATAAATCAAGATAAAGTCTCTACTCGGACCATCCAATAGACAAGCCCATCCCAATTGAAGAGTCAGCACAAAGCTAGCAAGCTCATCAAATTAAACCAATGAGTCACCAACCAATAGGATAAGGTCATAAAATCATGAACAAGCTTTATTAAGCCTTGCAATTGTAAGTCCCGTTAAGGACCTTCAAATGGATGTAAGTACTACTCCAATTAATTTGAGCATTCCAATCAATTTAAACCTAATCCTAATTAAAGGGCCAGCATAAAGCTATCAAGCTCATCAAATTAAACCAAACGAACCACATCACCTATGATGTAAGCCCGTAAGACCTATTATTGGGTTATGCTAGCCCTTGGGGTTGTAATTCCTACTTATAGTCTTCCAATGTATGTAAGGTCCATCCCAATTAACTTAGATCTTCAAATGATGTAAGTTCAACTCAATTAATATCCCACCAACAACAAGCCCATCAAATTAAACCACACGAACCTCCAAACAAACATGTTAAAGCCACAAAACCCATTAGGCTTTCTTTGTCCTCAAGGCTATAAGTTCCACTTATAAGCATCCCAATAGATGTAAGCCTCCATCACGACATAAACTCAGGTCAACTACCATGCTAACAACCCCATCAGTTACAATAAAATTAGTAAATTAAAAACACAAAGCCACCAATCAAATCTCATGTGTCTTAGACAGGCTTCTTTGAGTCAAGCTAAAGCTTGTGGATTATTGATGATCATGTCCAGTACATCTAAATCGCAAGCAGTGATTCTTTTTGCTTCTAAACTATATAGCAAAATTTCTATGAACAGGCCACTGCCCGTAAATAAGTAAACGTAAATCTTGAAAGCATGCCTTCAACATACATTCATGAAAACCTTCCTAAATTGGATTTCCAAATTAGGAAAGAATTCGAAATTTGAAATTTCGAATTTCAAATTTGAACTTTGTGTATGGAAGGGGGGTCGGGTGGATGACGGGGACGTCGCCGGCAAGATAGCCGGCCGGAGATGGAAGATGGGTGGCGGCGGGCTCCTCACAAGAGCGGCGGCAATAGAGGAAGAGGGATTTCTTGTGGAGGGGAGGGGAAAGGAGATGGATTGGAACACGAACGAAAAGGTAGGAAAATCCTAACCATGAATCGAGGACTCTTCCAACGATTGGTGGGCCTTGCGATTTGCTCCACTTGGAGCTCTCTCTCTCTCTCTCTTCTTCAAGCTCTCATGCAAGAAGACAAAGAAGAACACAGTAGATTTTCATTCCAAATAATCATTAACCATAATACAACATGAAATGACCTATATATAGGTACCAACACAAAAGAAAGTACAATGACTCTATTGCCCTCGGGGCTACACTCATGACTCAGCTCATACTAAGGGTACAATAGGAAATTCTGAGAAATAAAAGAAAATGCATAAAAGAAATACATGAATAACTAGAAATGTAAACTCTGAATCGTGGCCGTCGATCTGCGCTGTCTACGGCGATACACATGTCTGAACCTCTGGTCGATGTCCACATCAAAAACTTTTCGTCAGTGGTCATTAATATTAGTTAAATAAACTCAATCTATCATAGATTAGCCGTCAAGGATGCTCATTGAAGGGGTGACTTTACCAGGGTATAGTTTGAAATAATTGATGTTTTGTTTGGTAACGTCTCTCTTTTGGATTGTAAAACTAGCATGTTACCATTTTGATTTTTTTAAAAGATGACTGTGTAATGTCAGTCTCCATTCCTCAGGATCATGGGGCAAAACAGCTGCAAAGGATTTTTTCTCTCTTTAATAAGGAAACAAGGAATTAACTTTCGACGTTGTAGAACAGAACAGGAATAGCACAAAAATACCAAACTAAGCCTCAAAGTTTATTTTAAGAAAAAATAACATTTCCACATTTCAAATTTCAAAGAGCCAAGTTTTCTTCCATAAATTTGGTAGCAATACATTAGAAAAATGTACTAACCTTCTTTTGATGAAAACATGCAGAATAGCAACCATGTAGAACATTAACTGAGAACTGAAGATCAAAATGAACAAAGATCCATTTGCAATTAAATAGCAGACCATCGATATGCTGACATAGCTCACAACTGGAAGGTCATGTCCGGTATACAATGACATGACTAAAGAAGCAAAAATAGGTAACACGGCAAGTAGCAAGAAAGACCGTGGCATTCTCAAATTTAACTCCACAGCTTCCAAAATGGATGGAAACGACAAATCCAGTTCCCAGGCATGAGCTTGTCGCATTAGACCAAAAAGCACCCCAGTTACCATGAAACCCATAATCTGCGGCATTACCATAGTATCATGGATCAGATTTAAAATATTTAGCTATGAAATAATACAACAAAAGTCAACTTCTCCAATTTTAATTAACGTATATAGCAATCGTAGAAATAAAAGCAGATCAAATCTTTACTTTTTTAAGGATCAAATTCCACAGTTGTGCCTGGAATGATAGCATTTAGCACATGAACAAGTAGAAATCGTAGCAATTGGTAGTCCCCGTTAGGTTAATTCATGACAAACATTCACAAAGATCAGGCTCGACCCAACCAAACCAATTTCCTTTTACCAACAGAACTCAATTATGCATTCAGCAAATTGGCCTTGTCCAGCCTAATATTATAATTTAACTGAAATAAATTCACTAGGCGTGCTATTTATTGAGACAAAATAGAGCTTAATTGAAAAAAAAAATTCATTAAAACCAGCACTGTAGAGAGGGAGGGAGAGAGTCGGTATAGAGAGAGAGAGAGAGCAAGAGAAAAACAAAGAGAAGCATTTTGATGGCCATTAAAAACTACGCAACACCTAAAAAAATCGACAATAGTAAAGATAAGCATAAAGAATCATAATCCTGAATCTATTTGGCTAAAGCTTCCACAGTTAAAAAATCACAAATATATAGGTAAAACAGTAACGAAAATTCAAACACCAGAAAGATACTTGCGAAGAATAAAGAAGACAGAATCTGCTTGCGGCAGCTGCCAGAGAAACACCAACACTGATTTTATAAGAACAATGAGGATCCACCTATAAAATTAACAAAAATAATGTTAGAATTTATCGCTTCAAATTGAAAGCATATGCTGGAAGAATTGACAAACATTCAGATAACAAAAATCAAAATAAGATGGAAACTAGCTCAATCAGCATAGCAAATGGTGTGAAGATATATGAAAGACTAGACACAGTGTATATGTTAGAAATAAGGAAGTGAAAAATGCTGAGGTACTAGCATGTAAAAAAAATTGGAAAAAAAAAAACTTTGGTCTGCTAGGGTTTCGCCACTTCTCGTAACTCCACCCTACGCCCTAGACCAAAGGTCACCCCTCTCAATGAAATCTCTTTCTCCACCCCCCTGGGCTAGCCCCTTCAACAAGGTTCTCCCTGACATGACTTCTTGGAGTACCTCCTAACCTCCGGGCTAACCAATATTGTGAAGCCTTCACCCTCACTTGCCTCTTCCTCTTCTTGTAGACAGCCCCCTCTAACACCAATTTCTTTTTCCCCATAAAACTGGAAGGTCCGCTCACTTCCCAAAACTCCACATCCAAAGATTTCCCCCTTAGCTATGTTCAAAGCCAAGATGTTGTTGCCACCTTTTTGATGGAGGAATATGGTGACGGTTCGAAAAAATGGGAGCTTTCTCTGGTCGGATATTCACTAAATAAGTGTCCTTTTTATAGAGCTCTACTTCACTCTATCAAAATAATTTAGGCATTGAATGGTAACATACAATTATTATTATTAAAAAATGGAATTTTTTCACTTTAAGTTCCTTATCGAGAAGACATGGATCTGGCCTGCATGAGGATCTAAGTTCTTTTTTGGTAAGCCTTCTATTATGAAAAAAATGTTCACCAAAGTTCAGACCTATCCAAAAAGATCTATTCTATTCCCTATGAATTAACATCCAGGATCTCCCTCTTTGTTGTTGGAAATTATCTAGATACTCTAAAATGTCGAGTAAAATTGGTATTTTGCTGATATTACCGCCTTAATACTAAAAAAATTGCATCTCACATTTATCAAAGTATGCATCCAGGTTACCAATGGTTCAATTTTGCCAGATAAAATTAGCATCATCCTCAATGGGAAAGAATAATTCCTCACAAGTTCTTAATGCTAAAAGTCAATATCATGCCCACGCTGTGGTTCTTTCACCCATGCTCTAGACTTAAGTCCTTCTAATCCCTCCCATGTCGTAACTCCAACCTTCCTCCTCGCGACTGGTATAAGCTACTATGCTAAATGTCATCCCAACACTGCCCTCTTGCCTTAAAACACACGTCAAACCTTCTCCTTCGCAAGTTCCCTATTACCCTTGACCCCCACAAGACCCGAATGTTGAACCTTCTCCTATATCTAACCAGCTGAAATATATTCCTGCTGCCATCCTCAATTTTAACTCTCCAGATATCTCCTCTAAAAGTCTCAATTAAACCTCTTCTGGATCCACCACCTCTCTCTGTCTACCTCGGTACCTCCTAGCACCTTCTCCTCTCAGACCCCAAGCCCCTCCAAAAAAGCAAAAACCTCTGTTTTATCCTTCCATAGTAATGTGGAATATTCGTGGTTTTCATGGCATAAAGAGAGTTTTTCATTATAAAAACCTTCTCTTCCTTGAATATAGATCTTTTTTGTGTTCTTGAAGTAAGGGTCAACACATCCCTTCTCTCTAAACCATTTTTCATCTCTTTCCATCATTTTTTCTCTTCCAAAGAAGAGTGTAACAACTTCTCCATATATGATTCTGATAGAATCTGGATTAAATGGAACAGTTTGAGGCTCTTCTTTTAGCCAGAGGCTATGATAAATAGGTCATCCATGGCATTGTGCTCTGTGGGCTCAACACTCAGTTCTGACTATCAATCATCTATGCTACTAATTCCCAACATGAAAGAGTGGAGCTCTGGTCCTTAATGAAATTTTCCACTTACTTTGATAGGTCTTGGCTTGTTGTTGGTTATTTTAATTGTTGCATATTTTAGAAAAAAGTTGGTGGCAACCCTGCTCTTCTAATAACCTTTTTTTATTGTTTTTTTTTTCCTCTAACAAACTTAAAAACTTTAATGAATGCTTAATTTAGGATGGCCTCATGGATTTGACCTTCTCTGGATTATATTTCACTTGTCCGAATTTGAGAATTAATTCCCCAGTTTAATCAAGAAGGCTTTGCTAGACATATTTTCTTTCCACCTATGATGTGGCTTAAGATGATAATGCCTCATATCACCATTGAAGCCCAAGATGGTTTTATCCATATAATAGAAACACATCCAATAATGCTATCTTTGTTAATGAATTTTGGGTGATTCATTTTCTACCTCCTCTCCTAATTACTTTCATGTAAATTTGACTATTAAGAAATCCTTTAACTCTAGCAAAAAAGATCTTTGCTTCTATGACCTTAAGTTAACTTATTGGCTACACTCTCTCTACTCCGCGCTTCACTTGACTAGGATTAATAGCCTTGACTTTTAGGCCCCATGTAAGAATCGGCCTCCATCCTATATAATAACCCGCACGAGCAGGTGACAAATAATCGAACTAGGGCGAACCGAATGCGGGGCGGACCGAGACTGGAGGGTTCAGATGGTGTTTTTGAGCAAAGGATTGCATACGAAGGTGAAAACAAACGACTCCTCATGCGAGATATGTTCATTTCACTCGCTCCTATGGAATCAAACAAATGTGAAAGCAGGAGCCAAGAGAAAATCGGGAAGGAGAAAGAAGAAGGAAGGTTAGTATTCTTTTTTTTTCTTTTTGTACAAATCTTTCCGTGATGTTTTATCTAAGCCGCGAAAAATGCTTAATTAAAGCCAAAGGAAGAAATTTGAAAAAGGAAGGTGAAGAATTTGGGTGTTTAAGCACTTAAATTATCGATGTTTTTGTTATTCTTATATTGTCATTTTTTCGCTGAAGAAGTAAAATATTATTGCCAATAGGAAAAATCCAAGTGAAGCAAGCCTAAATTCGACAGTGAAGGAAGAAAAAGTTTATTTGGAAGGAAAGATTTTTGTGGGGTAATTTTAAATTATAAAGATAGATATTGTAATAAACTGTGGAGGAAATTTTATGTTTGCTTTTGATGATATTTGAGGCATCTAAATTAGATTTTAGTATTAATTAAGATATTATGTTGTATTGTTAATGGTGGAAGATTTCTATACTAAAACGAGTATTGGAAGTCTATATTGGGCTTGAGATTGGAAGGAAATTGAAACACGATAACCAAGTGGGCAATTACTGCTATTTTATAGCCATTATATAATTCTATTTTTGTTGCATATAGTTTCATGGCTATTTATTTAATTAAAAATATTTGAAGGTTATTATGTTCATAATGATGAAAGCTACTAGCCATTAAAGTAATAATGTAAAATATAATGTAAAATGCATATATATATATATATATATATATGAAATGTAAATATGTTGATTTAAATTAAATGTAAAAGAAAAGAAAGTAAATTTAAAAATGTATATATTCTTTCAAAGTCATATAAAGACAAATGAAACGAATAACGAATCTACCCCATGTAAATGAAAAGTTAAATTGAAAAAGGAAAATGTGCATGCATATAAGAGTTCACCCCTTATGATACTAGCTGGGAATGCAAATGCATATTAAATTGAAAAGTAAATGGAAATGGTTGTGTCATCTTTGGTGCAAATCATTAATTTTTTTATCCCATATATGTGCGTGTCAAGGTGTATTCCTCAATGTCCCTCATATGTTGGGCTCGGATCCAAAGAAAAGTTTACTCTTAAAAGGAACCCATATTTTGGGATCTTCCACACATGTGTCGGGGTGCATTGAGGAATGTCAAAGCTAAGTCTGAGTCTAACATGTGTTCTAAACAGACTTGGAGGGCATTTAGAAGTGTTCGTACTTCATAGGTTAGCTTTTTTTTTTGTTGGCTCTAACCTAAGACATCAATGCTATTTCCTTTTTTTTTCATGCCAACCCTACTTTTTGGGGGTATAATGATTGGATCACCAAGTTTTCTTTGGTCGAGACAGCACCAGTGAGCTTCAATTGTCACTTCTGATCTCGAAAAGGTGCAACCGATCAGATTTTATCTTGGGACTCCTTGAGGACCATGACTACTCATATCTTGATATTTGGCATTATTTGGCCCAGCGGGTCATAACGCCTACTCCCTTTTTCCCGTTTTGGTTCTTTTCTTTCATAGTTATTCTTATAAGTTTTGGTTATTTTAAGCTATGCAGTTCCTTTGGAACCCAATTTTTGTGATTAATATATTTAGCAACTTCTCTCAATTTCATAAAAATGTTCAGGTACAGTGAGCGGGTGTGTAATATTAAAGAACTTGATAGGACACCCAATGAGAAATCAAATTCAATTAATAGTGGAACAAGAGAGCAGATCTAATACAGATAAGAGCTGAGTTGAATGTTACAAATCAAAGGTAATAAGACTTTACAAGCAAGCTCATCAATTTTTTTCTCAGAAAGATAATTGATTCCTTACCAACAGAAATACAATAGTTCTATCAGAACCTTGACCGGAATCCCACATTGCAGGTGAAGAATCAACAATTATAGTCTCAGAGTTGATGTTAGGAATAACATGTAGGCCAGAAACGGAATCCCATGCAAGACCTACAGTCGGGAAACAACGTAACCTGCACAAGCCTGTTGCAATATAAAATTACATCAAAAATACCAAGCACAAATTTTCCACACAAAATGTCTATAATGACAGAAATGGAAGAATAAGATGATCCACTTGAAATGAACAAAATAAAAGCATCCAAAATTAGGTCAATTTTTTTCAGATGTGATAATAATCTACCATTTTAGTCCGTACACATCAGAATTTCTCTAACCTTCCAAAATTGGAAAACTTGTGAAAAATTTTTAGGTTACTAACGGAAAGAAAAAAAAAAGAAACACATCATAGTTGCATGAGAGCAGTCAACTCAAACTTGCTTATCCAGTAGAAAACATTTTAACTACATTGCCTTGTGCCATAGTTTTTTGATTTATTGAAGTAGCCTATCAATGATGCAATGCCTAAAAATAATCAACGCAGCCTCTTAAAAAAACATATAAAAAGAGTAATTTTGTTCTAAAAACATTAATATTTTACAAAAGGCTAATGAAGATGATAATAAAATATCAAACAATGATATACGTTAATATAATTTTCTAATGATGAACTTCGTAGTAAACTATCCTCAAAATTCTAAAGAGATGTAAATAAGTTTTGACAATAGCATTTATATGCAACATGAAAAAATCTTATTCACTGAACTGGTTGTGTAACGTCATAAACATTAACATCATCAATGTGGCATCCTTCTTATCCTCCAATTAAAGGGAAGAGTGCCAAAAAAGGACAAAAAAGTGGCATGCTATTTTTTTTTATGCTGGCGGTGGGCTACCATTGTTTTCCTACTAATAATCTGTTTAATGGATAGTAAGTTATGTTTATTTGAACAGAAAGATTTATAAATCAGATCTACAAGCTTACGGACCATCCAAAAATAATAAAGGTTTGCTACTTAAGAAGGTTGTATTCAAGAAGATCAAATAAATAGGTTTAGGCTGTGGAACAGTTAACATTGGAAAAATGCAGCATTTCTTTGCAATTAGAAGAGAAGACAAAAGCCTAACTGAAATGCATTCAGATTGGCAGTGACGGTTTTCTTGCCCAAAACTTGTTACTCAAATAGCACAGCAGCTTAATTGCACTTTTATAAAATATTCCTTTAAACCACCACACTATAACTCTCAAAAATATGCCCTCAACTGTATCCCCTTTCTTTTGTATAATAGGACCATGATACTTAAACCAATCAATCCTAGGTATCATTTGATGTTACAAGAATATTTTTTAATAATTATCAACTTCACCACTAAACATGCATATAATGTACTTAAATTCGGTTATCTTAAAAAACTTTCCACTATATTCCAACTTTTCGCTCTAGGAGGCTTCACATATCAATATTGCTTTAAAAAAAAAAGTAGCCAAGGAACCAACTATAAATATGTTTAGTAAACATTCTCGTAACAAACACAAAGAAAATATAAAAGTTAAAATCGATCATTGATGTAAGCCTTCTATAGCTAAAACCCATTTTATCACTCCAAATTACTTCGCAAGTCTAACTCCACCAAACATGCATTTAAGAATTTGAGCATGACTATCGTATATATTTTCTTGTTAATATTAATCAAGTCAATCTTGGGCACTGATTGATAGAAATTTTCAAGACCACGAAAACATATGAAGATCATTTTATTGTGCTTTATATGTGATCTTCATATGTTTTCACTAATTATTTTACTAAAAATCACCTTCATGAAAAATCTTCCTAGCATGAAACCAAATTGATTCTCTAATATCAAGGAGAATTTTATAAGACAACGTGCATAAACCATTCCTCATAACATTATAACATAACTCAAAAATTTTATAGTCTATATCATCACACTCCTGAAAAATCTACTTTGTTTTTAACATTGGTAAAAAAATGAAGCTCCTCTACCACTCAGCATTTCCTAACTTTAGGGGTTTACTAAAAAGATTTGTTTAATAAACTACTCCCTTGAATCTCATAACTCTTAATATGAACAGATATACCAACAATGCCTGAAACTTTACCTTAATTCCTCTTCCTGAATGCAAATTCAGTTACAATTTTTTTGTGAATTTATAATGCATTTCCCGATTCAGTTATGATGCATTCAGTTATTTTTGGTTTATTTATGTTTTATTGTATTTTTTATGCTATCAAGAATTTATGTACTTTTTATTTTGTTTAAACAATAGTATATTTTATTTTCAATTTTATTTTCTTTTCTTTTTTAGCTATCCAATGATGGGAAAGCATCCAATGATCATGGTAGGTAGTGCATATGACTTGGTAGATCTTTAGTTTGCTGGCTCGATTGGTCCCTGGCCGCTGGTGGTTCTCGGGTTAGCTGTTTTGGAGCATTCGGTTTTGAGCTTGTTCCCTAAGTTGCTTGAGCTGAAGTTTAGTAGCTCATTAATATCTTGGCCTTTTCTGTTCCCGTGGCGCCTGGCTGTTTTCCCGTGCATATGTTCCGTTCTCTGTGCTGGCTCCTCGGTTACCTTGATGGCTGGGTTTCCCGTCGTTGCTTGCTTGGTTTCCGGTGGCCTTCTCTTCTCTGTTTCCTATACCGAATGGGGGCTGATGTGTTGTGACTGTTGGCCTTTCATTTCCCTAAATCTAATTGGTTTGGTTGGAGGTGTTATGACTGTTTGGTTCCTCTCTTTTGCCTATAAAATGAAGATGTTTTGGCATGGAATAGGTTGTTGAAATTGTGAGTAAAAACTCTACAAAAACCTGAGGGTTTCTTATTGGAAAAGCTTGAGAGCTTGTTTCATCCCCTTCTTCTCTACGCAAGTTCCACTCCACTTGTATCATTCTTCTTGAGCTTTGGAAGTGTATGTTGACTGAAGTTTGGAGACATTTGCCGGAGGATTTTGGAAAGGACGTTGGACTATTTTGCAGTGGTTGACCCTTGGTTTGCAAGCCTAAGCACATTTTTTTTTAAATTCCTACTTTCGTTGCATGTGAGGAGACCGCTAGACGGTTTTACTGAGGATAGCGTTTTTATTTTCTTATTTTGTTTCCTTCGATTTGGCTTTTGTTTCTCTTAAGTTTGTTTGGATGTTTGCAAGCTTTATATGAATTGAGTTTGGTTTAAGTCTTGTCCTGGTGTTCTCCAATTTGTCTCTTTTCTAGTATTGCTTGCATCAGGTTCTCTTTGCTTTCATAAAGAAATTCACTCCCGAAAAGTCCCCTTAAATAATTTTCTAAATAGCATTTTAATGTATATCTAATGTTTCTTTTTAATTAAGATTTTATTATATTCACTCTTTATACATCTAGCTTGAATGTTTATTTGTGTACAAAACTTAAAATATATCAATGCTCAAAGGAAATTATCAAGCATAGCTGCAAAAGTTAAGGCATCTTCAGCAATAATGATGGGAATAAAAAGAAACACAAACAAGAAACTTTCAAAGACACATAACAAAGAAACAAACAAACTACTTTCAACTTCAAATAAAAAAAAAATCTTACAACTTGTAATAGAACTCTAGACACAACACAACTTATAAAAGTTTGAGAAGAAGGATACTTGTGGAGTGGAAACCGTGGAGAGAAGAAAGAGGTTAGAAGTCCAAGACGAAGTTTAAGAGAGAGGGAGGTAGAAGACAATAGCTCGCAAGCTATTACAAAACCCTCAAGTTTTCTTTCCAAAAATTATTACATTTCAATTCTCTAAACTGCAGCAAAGTAGTCCATATAAATAGGAAAAGGAACTCAAAAGACACCCAAAACAGCAGCCCAAAACAGCCAACTAGACCAGAGGAAAACTCAAGAGAAAAGGCACGGCAGCACCACAAACCGAACAGGCAAGATCGAAACAACCAAGAGCCAAACAAACACCAAGAAAAAGGCTTGGCCAGCCCAAAATCCCACGCATCCAGCAGCTAAAACAGCCACCAAGGAGGCATGGCAGCCCCAAAAAAATCCCAAGGCTGAGAACTCCAAACACAAAACAGCAAAGGGATAATGGGCCAAGCCCAATAGGTGACAAAACAGCCCATCAATAAATGCCCATTTGAAAAATTTTATTTTATTTTTTTGCCTGCATCAAATAAGTAGGCATTTTAAATGTAGTTAACTAGGTAATTTAACTATAGTTCATCACAAGAAGAAGTTGCACTAAACCTGACCATCATAGGTCATATGAAAGGATAATGTTCAAGAAATACAACATGTACAATTCACCCAAACGCAAGAAAAGAACTGAAATGTGGTAGGTGGCTTGCCAAACTAAGGCTTTGCTTGGCATTGTCATCTTTTGTTGTGTTATGTTGCCAAGTAAAGCAGGTGAATCATCATCACCATCATCATTTGCCTTATCCCAACTATTTGAGGTTCGCATTGTTAATTCTCATTTTTCATAAATTCTTGTTGAATATTGTTTAGATATTAAACCTACTATTTGAAAATCATTTTAAACAATTATATTCATGTGATATTAGGCCTGCCCACTTTCCTATGAATCATTCGATATTGATTTAATCAACTCACATAACATGTACATTTCTACACATTGTTGCACTAGTCCAAACCACTTGAATCTATTTTTAGTAACATTATATTCAAAAGATGCCACTCCATTTCCTCTAGAGTAATCATCTCTTGATTACACAAAACACCATAAAATTGCTTCTAGTGTTTTATGAGCAAAGCACGAAGGAGAAAGCAATAGCCTAAATAAATTTTGAGAAGGTAATTCCCTAACCATTTATTTTATGATAGTTTTTTACATGCTTTCATCTGCAAATAAATGTATTTTAATGAATAAGAGACCAAAAGGATTTATTGAAGATGAAAAATTCTGAAGGACATACGTCAGTAAGAGGCCACTTAAATTGAATTATATTGTCAATATGTGATTAATTCACACAAGTTAGCAAATGGCTTGACTTCTTTGTTTGTTTTACTAAATAATGGAGAATATGTTTCCTAGTTGTTTAGTTTAATCTCCACTACCATTCTAATAATTTAATCCATGGCGGGCTAAAACCAACTTGGAGTAGGTCCTCAGCTCGGGATGCTCTGTACTCACCTGACTTATCAAGTTCTCCTAATAGTACTAAACTACTGCAGATGGTGAGAACAGACTTTTAACGGATCCATATAAAACGTTCAAGCTCACAATAACCAGAAATTAAGATAGGTTAAAAAATGAACGTCAGCAAAGCTTACTGCTTTGATCCACATGATCAGCAGAGTCTTTCAATCCACAGCCTTCTGTTTGCAATGATACAGTCACAGGCAAAATACCTAGGCTTACAGAGAATGAGAAATTCAAAGCAAGATTATGATCCTCCTTCAAAAGCATTTCCTGCATGCCAATAGATACACAGGCTGCTCAATAATGACTTCGTAAAATTAAACAAAATATTTTCGGTTTGTTTGTAGATAAAGAGCAATAAATCAGTATAAAGACATAAAATTTTACAAATATCCTTCAATTATAATCACAAGGGCGTACCTCCTCAGAGTAGGTAGTGCGGAGCAGCAAGCTGGGAGAGAATTCCCTCTCTCCATCCTTTGGATTGAAGAATTGTCCAACTGCCATAGATACAGCTGGAGGAGGGCGGCCTGAAACAGTCTGGAGAAGGACAATGATGAAGTTATGCCAACAGAATCCATTTCTAGAATATTCGACCAGCTCATACATCAAATTATAGTTGTCAAAATTCTGAACAACACTCACAATTCAGTGTAATTAAGTAGAGTTTCCACCATAAAATTCTATAGTATGTCTATGTAACAGATTCCAAACAAATCAAATTTAAAAGGTAAGTAGGGAGCATGGATCTTATTGACAAAAATAAAATAGTACCAGCCGTGGAGCAACAGAAATAGTTAGGAACTGATATTCTTGCATTTCTTCAGGTGTTAATATCAGAATAGAAGATGGAGGTGCTTGCTCAGTCTGGCTTCCTGGTTCAATCTGATAAAAAATAGAAGATTATTGGATCACTGGAATACCATCCCATTCAATTTGCACCTCATAAAATGAATAAGTAAATAACAAGCAACAACAACATCATCAAGCCTTTATCCCACTACATTGGGTCAGCTACATGAATCATTTTTCTCCATTGTGTCATATTAAGAGTCAAATTCTCATTTAAATTTAATAAAAAAAATATAATTTCTCATACTTTATAACTAAGTTTTTTTAGATCTACCTTTACTTTCTTAACATAGGTCAAATCTAATACATCTACTCCCCTAACCGGGCATTGGAAGGCCAACGTTTTATGTGACCAAACCATTTAAGGCAACACTATCTAATCTTATTTGTCACTGGAGCTACTCCAACCTTTCACATATACTCATTTCGCATTCTATCTCTAAGAGTAAAGCCACTCATCCACCAGAGCATCCTCATCTCTACAACACTTAATTTTATACTTCTCTTTAATAGCCAACATTCTGCACCATAAAGCATTGCAGGTCTCACCACCATCTTATAGAATTTTCCCTTAAGTGTGAGGGATACTTTTCTATCACACAGCAGGTCTGATGCATTCCTCCACTTCAACCATCATCTTGAATTCTATTAATAATATCCCCATCTATTTCACTAACATTTTGAACAATAAACCTGAGATATAAAAAACGTGTATTCTTTTAATGAAAAAATAATTGATCGTCCAAGGTCACAATCCCCCCACTAGATCTATTACTACAAAAATTACACTCCATGGATTAGGTTTTAGATCTACTCAAATGAAAACATTTGGACTCTAAGGTTGACCTCCATAATTCAGGTTTTCCTTCAATTCCCTCTCTAGTTTTATCAACACGAAGAACATCTTCAGCAAAAAACATACACCAAGGTACATCCTCTTGCAAATGTCTAGTAAAAACATCCATGACTAAAGCAAAAATATATGGGCTTAAAGCTGTTCATTGATGTAATCCAACTGAAAAAGAAAAATGCTTGGTCAAAACACCTTGTGTTCGAACACAAATAGCCACTCCTGCATACATGTCCTTAATAACTTGAAAATAAACATTATTAATTATTTTCTTTTCTAGAACTCTCCAGAGCACTTTTGTTGGACCTTTATTCTATGCTTTCTCTAAATCAATAAATATCATATATAGATCATCTTTATTCTCTCTATACTTCTCCATCAAACTTATAAATAAATGTATAGCTTCCATAGTAGACCTACCTGGCATAAATCCAAATTAATTTTGAGAAACATTAGTATCACGTCGTAACATATGCTCAATAACTCTCCTATAGTTTTAATGTATGTCGCATCAACTTAATTCCTCTATAATTCGCACTTTTGTGCATCACCTTTATTCTTAAAAATTGGAATCAACACACTCCACTCATTTGTATCTTTTTAGTCTTCAAAATTATATTAAAAAGTTTAGTAAGCAAAAAAGTTCCTTCATCTCCTAAGCATTTCCACACCTCTATTGGAATATCATCAAGTCCAATAGCTTTTCTACACTTCATTTTCTTTAAAGCCTCTCTAACTTCGGTTTTACTAATATGAGGATAAATATAAAAATCTTTATTTTCATTTAGGGTGTTAAGGTCACTAAAGTCAATCGAAGTTTCGCAATATTCATTGAAAAGCTTATCGAAATATCTCATCCACCTATGTTGAATATCCAAAAAAAAAAGTTGAATATCCTCTTCTAATAAAAACACTTTTTCATATTTACCCTTAATGCATTTCAATTGAACTAAATATTTACTTCTCATATCTCTTGATTTGACTAACTTATATATACATCTTTTGCTCTCCTTATAATATAATCTATTATATAAATCTTTAAAAACTAAAAGTAAATAACTCTGAACTAAAAATCCTATAGGGATGGACCTAAGCAGAGAATTAGAAACTATAATTGACAAAAACTTATTCATTTAGCACATTCAAGAAACCCAAAAAAAGAAGCAATAAAGTCAGAGCTTGTACCTGCCTTGGAGCAGGTCCAGTTGGAATGTAGGCCATTTTTGAAGTCACCTCCAGGACTCCTTTTTCACTTGACAGTTTATCTCCTGTCAACGACCTACGCTTCTCTGGCCAAAGGTGAAGCCTAACCCCAGAACACGGAGCAAGATTTGTTACAAATATGAAGTGGTCTTTGCCATTTGAACTCTGTAGAAAAGAAATGATTTGATTAAGTCCTAACCAGAAGGCCATAGTTTTCGTATGGTGGCAACAGAAATGCAGCATACAATACAGTGAGAGCAACGATATCACTTAAATGAAAGCATTGTAGTAGTTAAGAAAAAGAAATGTGACATATAAAAGCAATACCGTGCATATAAGTCCATTCAATTCATGCAAGAGAAACCAAGAGTCACATGCCAAAGATTACTCAGGAGATCAAGTTAGCCAAACCTGATTTCTTATGTCCAACCACCGCCTTCTCCCATCCATGGCCAACACCGTGACAGAAGTTGAGTGAATGGAGAGATCTTTCTCAAGAACATCACCTCTCCAGTGAAAAGATGGCGGGCAAAAAGAAAATCCATCAATTTGCAATCCTGCAGCTAGGTTAACATATTATGATTTCATTATTTCATGTATAGATAATCAGATAAGTCACAAGGAAAGAAAAATAATCAAGACATTGTTCAATATAATATATATGGTAAAATTATTGAAAAAGTAATTGCTAGAAATATTATGTAGTTTCAAGTGGTATATTAAATCTTTGTGGTATAAGATGGCATAGATATCTAATGCAGGGTGTAAAGCAAAACCATAAAACTTACTGACGCGTAAATAAAATGCAAAAAATAATTCAATCCTTAGATGATTTATTTGGGTTTATAATATGATATGTAAAATGTAATTCATACAGGAAAATAATTGAGGAAGCAAATCCAACTATAAATCTACATCATATGAGCACAAGAAAAAGCATGGATCAAGACATTGGGTGGCGAAGTAAACCTAAACCTTAATGTCATTGAATCCACAAGAGATAATATTATATTGTTCGTGGTTTTCTATAGCTGGTGACAGGTTAAAATCTTCAACTGTAACTTTATTTATGAAATTTATATCACATATCCAAAACTGAGATCAAAATTAAAAAATAAACCTGCGAAGTTGGATGGAAGAGAATGGGTTGATGAAATTACAAGAGAGAAATGGATCAGCTGGGTGGGATTTCACCTTCAAACTTCGCGGTTGATGATACAACGTTTTTTATCCATGAAAGATAACTTCAATTCATAAAATAAAGCAATTTTAACAATGATATTTGATGCAGAATAAGAAGGCTGCAACAAAATTCAGATATTTATAGGTAAAGAAAAAACTTATTAGTTTGATAAGATTTTGAGGTACATTTCGAGTAGAGTCATCATCACATAAGTTGATATTCATGATGCAAATATGAAAAAAATCATGCATATTATCTCATCATCCATTTATGGCAAGAATATAATCATCATTAATTTGACCCGACCCAAATCAGCTTAACTTAAATCTGATATGTTTATTAAATAGGTAAAAATATTTTACCCAAACTAAACTCGACCAAAAATCGCCTAACTTGACCAACCAATTTAACATTGCCTGAGTGGTAATTTTAATCATTTGAAACAATTTGATCGTGCTGTGATAGATTTCAATGTTGGGTGAATATAGATGTGTGTGAAAATTGAAGGAGTTATGAGGATATGAGTCCAAGAGCATTTCCTGTGGAGAAGATTCATAAGATCACTACATTAGATATAAGATTGGCTAATGCAAATATGCATGATGGAAATATTTTGTTTTGCAAAGAGAGAGAAAAAGGGTGAATTGTGTCAATCCCCATTGATCATGGGTATTGCCTTTCTGAGTATAAAATACATCATTGCTTCTTTGAAAGGAGGACTTTGGATAATTGATGATGCTTGTTTTGGCATAACAGAGGGTTATGCCGATCTATAAGGCCAATGAAATAGTGAATTGGGCCCCTCAAATTATTTATTGATTTGATTTATTGCATCAAGTAGTCTAGGTCTTATGGACATACTACTTGGAGATACATAAAATACAACGTATAATAGACCTTAAGAAGACCGCATAAATAATGACAGGGAAGAATTTAAGCAATTCATAGGGCTGCCTTATTGATATACTTTACAAAAGAATGCCAAATGATTTTAATAACCTTAAATGAGTATGCCTTATATCCTTCCATCCATGTTTGAAAGATCAAATCTAAATTGTTAATGATGACAATAAGGGATACCTAAATATTCAAAAATAAATTCCGAAAATGCTCCGATCTTTAGGTCAAACTCCTAAATGTAAGATTTGAGAATGCTTCATGGATTCGCTGAAAATGAAAATTACCCCGATGATAGCGGTGTTGATAGAAAATCTCAACATGATGGAACCATGCCTTTCAAATGACTCCAAATTCCTATAAAATACAAATATTTTCAAGTGATTGCAAAATCACCCCAATGATGGCCGTGTTGAAAGTGAATCTCAATCGAAGGGGACTACATATTTTTAAATGCTCTCTAAATTCTTACAAAAATGCAAATATTTAAAAAGTGACTTTAATATCAAACCGATGATGGCCGCATTGAATGTAATTTCAACCGGAGGGATCAATTTTGAAAGCCTATTAAAATTTCAAAATCTAATATCTATCAAATTATAAATATTTAAAGGGAAATTGAATCATCAAAAATTTAAAACTAAAATCCATCCATACTTCACAACGATTTGAAAAGGATGATGAATTGAAAAATAATTTTAGCTTACAAAGGGCAAATGTCTTGTGGAATGTATTACTACAATTCGTGCTCATTTGATTTATCGCAAGCAGGAACGTGGCACGTGCCCTCTGACTAGTGGTTTTGCTGCAAAATGGCACCACTAAATTACGATCACGGCCAAAGTCCATATGTTTCCTAATGGTTAAAAGCCCCTTGAGTAATGAATTATAAGGTACACTCTATAAAATATAAAACCCTCTGTTAGCTAAGGTTGACTTAAATTCACCACCTTAGGCAAATATTCACCCAAAGTCTACAAGGTATTCTTGGATGAAATAACACATGGCTACCGACAAAGTTTCTTCTATCAGGTTGGGTTGACTACCTCCTTTGAATAAGTAGACCAGGGACCATGACAGCCTAAAATGAAGGAACCATGGGATCTTGATTGGGCTCGTTTTCATTCCCCCATCACTTGTTTTAAGTACATGGTGATAAATTTCAAATCTTGAATTTCAAAATTCAAAACCAAATTCAAACCATAAAATCGTTGCTACTATACGCTAGGTAATTATGTGTCCATAGATCATTGCCCGACATGGAGGTGTAGATGCATCATTTAGGATTATAAGTGACATATCATCTTTTTTTTTACATAACATATGAGGAAAACAAAGACAGCGATTGTGTTCCATGCGTTGGATACAATTTAATTAGACATGACAAGTTATGGTAAGACTTGAAAAGAAATCCTTGGACTTAAATCCAACAAAATAATCATATACCTGAAGTATGACTAGTATCCTTCACACGATCAATGGGAAGGTTTTGAGAAGCTGATGATGACTCTCCAAGCTTAATCAATCCCAAACTCTGAGGTAAACCACCTTGTAGCATTCTAGTAAAAACAAGAAGCCTTTTCTCCAAACTTGTAAATGGTTGTCCATTTTCAGGATTTATCAGAGTAAGAAGCGTATGTGATAGCTGTAAAAAGCATCAAAATGTTTAGAACATAAAACAAGCCACCGAAAAATAAATAGAAAAAAGGCCCTCCCGCTAGTATTATAGTGTGCCGAACCTGGATGACCAATTGATTGCACCACAGAATAGTCTGGTGCTCCATTGAACGCCATACATTCTTCATGCTTGAACTACTAATCATAAAGCCATTCGTGGATGGAACAATCCCATCCAAAGAAGCCAACTTTGACCGAACCTAAGAAAGACATAAACCAGTAGATTCACATCAATTAGATATTTTGAGGCAAAAAACAAAATGATAAAGACTTTATTAAATACAAACAAATATCATTAAAAAAAAATTATGCGATAATAAATCTATTATTAATGCCATGAGTTACAAGCCTGCCAAAGGAATGGGGACCTGCAAGCCCATATAAGGTGCCATAGTAACCAAAAAAAATTGATGGCACAATGAATATCGAGGCAAATCCAAAAAGACAACCTTATAAATTATAAAATCTTGCCCGGCAATTCAAGTATAAATAATCAAAAAAAATACAATGTAAAACCAATGGTTAAAAAAAGAAGAATGTAAATTCAATATGGGGTAATACTACAAAATCAAACAAATAAGAGACAAGAGTTCAATATGAACGTTCAAACCTGGTAATCATAAAATCCACCAGATACAGATACAACAAGAACATGGGAGAGTTTAGAGCCATATAAAGTATGACCAGAATGACCGGCTTGCGGAATGAACCCCTTTTTCCATTCATGATTAACTTGTGAAAAATAATGACCCAACGATGGCTGCAATGCAACAGGAGGGGCCCTGGATAAGCAACGTGAAGTATTTATACACTAAGTGATATTTCAGAATACAAAATAAGGTTTCACTAGTAGATAAAGCGAAACATACTGGTGAGGGCTGGAGAGTGTTAAAATAGTCTCAATAGCTGACTTTCGGAGGCCTGGGTGAATTGCTGCAGCTCTAGCAACAAATCCACCCATAGAATGGCCGACCAATATTACACTATTGGGCAAGCTTCCAGAGGCATCAGCTCCTTCTTGGGATCTTGTTTCACGAGAATCTTTATACAAATCCAATATCTGCAAATTACATAATATCAGAATGATCAGGACAAGCATGGAATATCCACATTATTTGGGTGTTTAAAATCTTCAAAAAAATGGCAGAAAAAGGAATATTTATTTCCTCATAAAGAGTCATAAGCTTCCCGAGCAAAGAACTCAAAACATATTGCAGAGAATAAACAGCTGTCAAGTGAATTCCATATTACATAATCTTGTCCTTAGTTTTATGTTTTTAAACCATTTTCAACTTCATCAAACGGTTGTTTTTTTTTTTTGCACCTCCAGCTATTACTTTTGTATCCTTCCATTAGATAAATTGATCACAAGCCCTTTTTTCCAATCCAATCTAACTTCTAAATCATGGCATTTATGAGAGAAACAAAATTAACATTAAAATAGTTACCCTATGGATAGAATATACAACATATTCAGTATGCTCTTTGAGTATTCGTCCATCCATTGCAGAATGCTCCCCCTCAAGATCCACGGCAAACCAATCCAACATACGTTTATATTTGGTAGGGTACTTGAAAGAATTAGAAATGTCAACATTTAGAAATGATGCTTCTTGATAAAAATTTTCCTCAAGTGGTCCTCCTTCATACGCTCTAGAAGATTCCGCAGCTAAGGAACGAACCTGGAAAAAAAGTGATATGGAAATAAAGATTCATATAAAATAGTAACATACAAAAAATTTTGAGGCTTAGAAGTATTGGCAGCTACTAATTAAGAGCATTAAGTTTTGTTCAGAATGCATCATACTTGTAATTCATGAAGCCAATTCTCAAGACTATTTTACGCGGATGAAGCAAAGTAGATATATGTCAAGGAGAGGCAAGAAGCTTTGAATAACAATTTGATTATACTGAAGTGATCACAAAACAGAAACCTTTAATGCACTTATATTCACAGATAAAATACAACTAAGCAAAATATTAAATTTAACCCATCCAAAGAAAAGCTGAAATTGCATTTACCACTGGCATGGATAGAAGAATCTGCACCAATCTCGCAATGAGCATGGATCAAGTAGCAAGGCAAAATTGGAGCCTGCATGAATTTAAATGCCTTGAACAGAACTAGATTTGCAAAATGATGGTCATCAAAGCCAAGGCCTCTGAAGAATCCCCATAAACTACATCCCACCTATTACAATTGGTGCAAGCCCTAGGTACCACTGCTCAATCTTTCTTCCACTAGCAACCTAGATGACTTATCTTCAAGCATCATCTTCCTCAACGGCCTTGAAAGGGATACAACATATTCTTCAATGGTAGAAGTAGCACACCAAGGGTCACGATTATTTTCTCACTCATCAGATGATACACTATCAGCACACACTTCGATGTTGTTTAGTCAACACAAAGTACGGTATCACTGTTCCACCTGTGTGGTATGATATTGCCAATTTCATCATCAAAGCTACAAGATGCCCCAAATCAGTTTTTTTATCACTCTTCTCCAATCCATTTGCTATCCATTCTCCTCTAGTAAGGGCAATGTAAAGCCTCCGCAAAATCTCACTGCAACTTTCTGACATCTCTTGCAGCATCTGTGTTCCAGTAGCCTAAGCAGACCTTGGGCATCCTGGAATGCCCAAGCTAAATTGGCCCAGAAAATAGTCAGCTACAAGCGAGCGGCCCAGGTTCAATCTAGACAAGGCTGGACCTTTTGATCAAACACTCTTGGAAGTGTAGTTAATGTGGAGATAAGCAAAATGTCGATGATGATGGTGGTGATTTTTTTCAACTAGGTTGAAAACCTATGATGTAGAACGGAATACACTTTGCTATGGATGATGGACAAACTCCAAATGTCTCACAAAATCTGAAAATTTTCTTCAGGTTTTTATTCAAAACCTGAGAAAATTTCTCAGATTCCAGTAGATAAGAGTCTAGAGAAGATTGAAGGAGAAGCCTAGCCTTAATTTAGAAGAGAAAGGCTGAGAAGAAAATCCACTCCACGGGTTCTTGCCTAGGGACGTTACCTAGAGCAATTTGGAGAGGAAGGGAATGGCGGGATGACAGGGATTTGATGGATTTCAATTCCCAAAATCAGTGAACTGATTTGGGCAATAAAATAGGAAGTAAAACTGAGTAAATACCAAGCAACACAATTAAGGAGGAGGCGGCTGATTGTGGCCAGATGTTGGAATTAATTCCAATTCAGGAGGCTGAAAATACGTGGACAGAATTTGACGTTATCTCTTGGAGAATTGACTCAGAGAAAAGCTTGGATCGTTGCCAAGAAAAAGGAGGTAGCATTCGGAAAAAAATTGGGAAGTATTTCCTTATTTCACTTCTCAGTTTTGGAAATAATTAAAGGATTGAACTTTGGAATTTTACTGAGCCGGAATTAAGGAGGTGGGCTTGGGATTTTCGGTCAAACAAATTCTCAGATTTGGAAATATTAATTTCAAATTGATTGGGCTATTGAAGAGGGCCGGCGGTTTTCAAAGCCAGGGAAGGGGATGTAATGAGGTGATTTAATGCTCTTAGATTTGAATTTAAAATTCAATTGAATTTACATTAAGAAGAATTCATGGCATTTAATTCCTAATGCAAATTTGAATTTTGAATTTGAAATTCAAATAGCATGCAATAAATTAGGAAAGAAATTTGAATTTCAAATTTCAAACAACTTGAATTTCAAATTAATTCCTAATATCATGCACCCCTAATTAGGAAAACCAAGGAGAGAGGGAAAGGATGACGCCGGCGGCTAGGGAGCCATGGCCGGCGGTTTGGAGGATTTTCTGGGGAGATGTGGCCGGCGGCTTATGGTGGAAAAAGGAGACGACGATGGTGAACGTGGCTGGAGGATGACGACGACGGCTAGGAACAATAAGAAGGAACGAAACCAAACAAAGAAGAGATACAAATGAAAGAGAGAAAATAAGAACCATGAGCCTCGGACTCTTCCGACGACTGACGGGTGATGCTTTGCCCTTCTCCAAGGGGACTTCAATTCACGAGCCCGGACCCATCCTGCGGTTGGTGAAGACTCCGATTCCTCTCCATAAGAATCTCACTAACGCTCTCTCACAAAGAACAAAAGTGTGACATAAATTTTTTTTAAATCAATTCTTCATCTCTATTACAATAGCTTAAGGCCCTATATATAGGCCACAACATGAGAAAAATCAAAAATTACAAAATTGCCCCTTGGGCCATGACACTCACATAACTATCCTAGGGGTAAAACAGAAAATACATTAATTAAGAACTAAAATTCAGAAAAATAAATAATAATTAAAGGTTTAAATAATAGCCGTCGATTTACGACGCCGCCTGTGATAGATGCGCCAAATCTTCGTACTGATGTCCGCATCAACCTATCTAAATATACTAGTGATTTGATTTAGGCTTTTTTTTTTTTGATAAAATAATTATGTTACAACTTACAAGTACATCAAAAAGTTAATAAAAAATATGTTCCTTCAAGAACTCATCTGATCCTACAAGTTTCATATATCAATATCTTCCCTCAATTTAAAGAACGATTCAGGTTATCAATTCAAATAGAGAAAAGTGGCATGGAGCCACAACTCAACTATTTGTTAATGAATGACATATATTTTGTTGTCAAAGAATTTCATATGGATTTTTTTTTCTCTTTATGAGGCAGGGTATCCATTACACAAAGCAATGCATTGTCAAAGTAAGGGTGCGTTTGGGACGGCTGCTGCTGTTACTAAAGCAGGTTGTGAAATTGTTGTACATAAAGCTGCTTTCTTAAGTTGCTGTATAGAAATCAGTCTATGTTGTTTGGTAGTACTACTGCCGAACTGCTGTGCTGCTGCTGTTACAACAAATTACCTCGTTACCCTTACATATATGATGATGAATAAAATTTGTTCAAATTTAATTTTTTTAACTCTTTATGTTAATAATTTTGATATAAAATCTAATTATTTTATTTCTTTATACATATTTAAACCAAATGTTTATTTCAAGCTGGAATGAAAATTTGAAGGTATTTAAAAATAACAAATTTGTGCCCATAAATAAAAAATTCTGGCTACCCTACTTGCTTAAAAGTATTTAAAAATAAAAATTTGTGCCCATAGATTAAAATTTTTGCCTCGACCATTACCTATCCCACCCATTGTAACATCCCAGATATCAATAGTGAAAGAATTCATCTGACATTCTTCTTTTTCGTCTCTTTCTCGTTCGGATCAATACAGACATCCAGAGATAATTGCATTAAAGAAAAGAAATATGGCAACTACTATAATTCACATTTCAACATATATACAGTCAAAAGGAGCGTCCAAAAGAATATATACAATAGCCATTCAGCTACAAAACAAATGCCTGTCAAAGGCTACAAAAACAAACTACACTAATGACCGAAGAAGCTTCACGGGGGAGGCTCTGCACCTGAAATCATTAACCACATATAATGAGCTTAAATAGCCCAGCAAGTCACTAAAGCCCATCTCAAACGCCGTCCTTTCCGACAATGGGGATTGCAACGAAAGGTGAGAAGGAGGGCGCACAACTCATCTAAGAGCCGCGATTGATGCTGGGGATCGCAGCCCATATTTAAATAGGAATCCTAAACTTAACCGGGAGAAATGGAGAGAAGATGGCAGAGTCGGAGGAAGGCATGCGGGAGAAGCAGCGATGAGTGAGTGGAGGGATCTTTGGCAAATCGGCGCGCATCGGAGAAGCAGCGACCCGGCTTTTCAGTCATTTATGCCCTTCGAAACGGCGGAAAGCAGCGACCCGCAGCGGACCGCGGGACGCAATGAAAGGTCGCGAGAAGCAGCGACGGGCCGCAGAAATTTTTTTAACTTTGTTCTGCCGCAATGCCCCAAACGAGCACTTAATAAATTTTTATAAAGCGAAGCAGCTGTGAAGCCGTCCCAAACGCACCCTAAGCCGCCAATGACTCATGTCAAGTGAATCAACCTTACATTTATTTTCTCCTTATCCCATCACGCTTCCACTTGCCCTCTCCCTCTCCACAACCCCCTGGCCACCATCCACAGTTCCACAGCATATTTACCACATTATAATCATTTTACATGTTAAATATGTTTTCTTTCTTCCTGAATAAAATGCTTGCATCATTGGATATCATAGCAATTTTTTCACCTAATTCTTTATGTCAAACAGCAATTCCACCAATGAACCACTACTGTTTATTCCGCTTTCTATATTATTTAATTTATTTCACGAATGTTGAATTTTTGGTTGCTAAGATAGCACCATCGCAAGCAAACATTACATGGCAATCACAACAACATGTATCACCAAACCACCCTAGTTAACCACCAAAACAACCTAAGAATCAAAAACAGAATCAAACTAATCCAAGGCAACTCCTTAACCGCTTCGAGAAAAACCTAACCTTATCTTTACCAATTCAAAATCAAATCTACACTAATTACAATCCTAACCCCACTGTAATCTCGCCTCATCCAAATCAAAACCAAATCTAAAACTATTACAAACCACTTTAGACGAAGCTAATAACAAAACAGTTAAACCATGTTTTGTCGAATATGATTTCCTACATTAGAATTGGTTAGACCCTCCCTCCATCATTTTGTTGAAATATCTATACAAAAGCTACTAAATTTTCCTTTCTTCTGTTATTGACTTCTACTACCATTCAGCATATATT